TGCCTGATAAGTGCAACTCAGAATAGTCCTTCATAAATACGGGCCAACAAGGTAAATAAAAACATCGAGGTGTGTAAAAATCTATTTTATTCAACCTTGCTCGCAGGGGAAGCAACCTAATATTTCGTGATAGCAGAAAAGTAAAAGCTATATTTTGTCACATTATCATAATCGCTAAGCCTCCACCAACATCTAATTCTGGCATTATCAGGCAACGTATTCGTCTTCTGTTAAATGGAAGGACAGAGTAGAAGGCCCCTGAATGCTGATGAATCTCCCTCAGTCTTGTCCTCCAAACGGCTCCTTCATTATGGCTGAAATACAATTTTAGCCTCGCCTTGGTCTCCTCAGTCCCTCCAGTGGGATTGGAAATGTTCTTGTGGACATTGAGTGGTATTTTTGCCACTACGCTACGCAGCCACAAAGGCCAGTATGTTAAAAAGCAAATTTGATTTTTCCGGCAAACCAGAAGTTTCCAGCTTCACATTTTTAGACTTAGACTAGTGTCACTAATGAAACTCATATTAGCCGATAAAATGGACGATATTGTTATATTCCGATTGAGTAGGTTCGGATACTACTGGTGAAACAATTATAAAAACGGGAGGCCCTTTAATTTGGTTTATCATGTTTAAATGAGTAATTAAATTATAATACCTAATATGCTATATATATATATATATATAATTACAATATATTTAATATTGAATAATAATTTTGATACTATATCTACTGGTAGTTTCGAAATTTACGGATAGGGTATATAGTAGTATTGTCCATTGTAACTGCAAATATGACACTAGGCCCACAAAAAAAAGGGTAATTCGTATGGGTCTGGACTGTATTTTAACCCACAATTGCTCAGTGACCATTTCGCACTTGTGGTTGTGTGGGGAGTGGTTGCATTGCTGCTCTTCCAATAGGCTAGATGGACCCAGGCCAGGCTGTGGCTGCCGTCCAGTCCGGACGAGAATGCAAGTAAACGCCATCCTGAGGTCTTTTATTCAGATTATTGTGTGAAATTTAACCTACAGTTCTTGCAATATCACATACCACTTGGGGTTTTTCGAGTTCTTCCGAATATATCCTATGACAATTTTGTAACCCACTTTTTGGAATATCCGCCCAAATTCTTTGAGGTTCGCCATTTGCCGAGGTTTCAACCATGCCATAGGGTGCTGCCATCTCCGCAAATTGGATTAGTGACTGGTACAATCACTGAACCTCGTGTTGAAATGAAGCTTTTTGTCCTAACTGAAGTTGATCCCAAGAAAACTCAACCATATTTCGTTTCTTTTAGTGAACTCTAAGGAAACGACACCATATTTATCGTTATTGCCGCCACATAGCAGTATTTTTACTTCTCTTCAACTCGTAGCTGTTAAAAAATTATCCTTTTATTGTAACCTTTTTCTATTAATCTTTTTTATGTTTGCAATTTTTGCTTCAATCCAGACTTGTTGCTCCTCAGACAATTGGTCGTAACTAAGCTTATGCAAAGCCTCGGCGGCTTCCCATATGGCCCATAGTTCAGTACCCAATTTATAATCATAATTGAGTAAGATTTTACCTAATTCGTTCGGGATTATTTTTTGTTCATTGTGAAAGTAGGGCAACAGAAAAATACCCATTGCGTTATCATTAAATGGAGATAATGTTAGATAAATCTGTACTATTTTGCAGTTTTCATACAAAATATAAAGCCATATGACTTTTACATAGACCTGATTTTGTCTCTTACAATTTGCTTAACTTTAGCCTATACCGTTTTCATTTTCCCCTCCCTGGCACGGCTCATTCTCCCTCAGGTGGTTTGGTCTCTGGAAGAAGAGAATCGCGCCCTGCAGGCGGAATATGAACAGCTGCGCCTGAACACCCCAATGCTTGCCGCTTCGTTCAGAGGCCAAAATAGGCTAACGGCCTATCAGTCCCACGTCCAACGGCAGCAGCAACAAATGCTACATAATCGGGAGCGTAGCCAAACTGCCTTGGGTGGACAGTACATTTCCAGCCAGTACAATAGCCTCCTCCACCCTTCAAGGTAGATAGCTAGACTTATCTCCACTCCACATTCATTATATATATATATATATATATATATATATATATTGGCATTTCAAGAGCCAATTGCGGTTGTCGGCTATATAGGCCTGGCTATATATGCCCAGTTTTGCCTTGGAGTCAAAACCAGCATCTACATTTACCCTCAAGTCACGAGCGATATTCTCCTCTAACTCTTAGCAGAATTCATCATCGCACATAAACAGGCTTTATTAAGCAACCCAGTCCATTAAATCATCCCAAAACATGTGCACTGCAATTTCCGACCAATTCTTGAGCTTACTTCCGTTTAGAGTGAAAGTGTTGGGTAAAGAGAATCGAAGGTCGGTTCCACCGGCGGATTCCTTGTGATCAGCTGTCGATTGGCTTTACTGGAAGATTCATGCTGACGCTCTTTTCGAGGTAATCTCATTCGATTCCGGTGAAAAGGTGCTAAGTCTTCGTCCGTCATATGATACAGCGTCAGCATGAATTTCCCAGTGAAGCCAATCGACAGATGGTCACGAGGAATCCGCCGTCGTCTTCTGGTGGAACCGACCTTGGAATCTCTTCACACAACACTTTCACTCGATGTGGAAGTAAGTTCAACAATTATGAAACAAGAGATTCCTCGAAACTCAACTTTTCTTCACATATATTCCGACCAATTCGTTCAAAACGTTCATAGGATAGTTCTTGTTCAAGAATGGCTACTTAATCTGAAAATAAGTAGTGTCGTTTATTACAATAGCAAATAGATGTTTGCATTAACGACAATCCCATTATAAAACGTGATGCCTGATTTTTCTTGAATGTCACATCTGAGCTGTGATCCTCCGGGACATATGATTGTGTAGTGGAGTGTTAATGTCGCAATTATACTCACGAACAGATATTAAATCCCGTTTGGGGTGCAGATGAGACCTAGACGAAGTCGAAACTGCAGTCCTCTCTGGATGAGATGGGCTTCTGAGAGGCAAGGCTTCGTGACACTAACTACTATCGGGAGGCCTATTCCTCTGATTGTAGTAACGAGACCTGCTTCTCCCATGTATATTTAAGATAGGCCAATAAATGTAACGCAATATTGCAACAATAAGGGAAGTTAGTCACTATGATTTGGCGGCGACCCCGTTGGCCTCATTTCAGTCACGTTTACTTGTTATACCATACAGGAGTTTCGAAATTATGAGTCCCGAAGGTTAGGATGAATAGAGGAAAGTGCAGCCAAATTTGTGAATATAGCATGCCACACACTCGATGATAAGTTCGGCTTAAAATCACATGCCTAAGACTAGAATTTGCTGCAGTGACAATCGTGTTGAGGTAACGGCAATCTAAACTCGAAATTTCTTTAAAGTGTTGGTTCGACCTTGTGCTCGCCATTTCGTCGGAGCGTCACAAAGACCTAGTGGGACTTACCTAGTCCCGTGTCCTCTGCCTGAGTACTCGTGATTTCGGGAATGTACCCAGCCAATGGTCCAATACTGGAAATCACGAATACTCTGGCGGGGGATACGAGACTAGGTACGTTCCACAAGGTCTCCCTGATGCCCCGACCAAGTGATGAAAACAAGGTCAAACCAACACTATAAAGCTAAAGGAGACTGCGACCAAACAGAAGGCCATACCATCGTGGTCTTCATATCTACTATAGAAATGTATTTCTCTGTGGAAGACTGTACGCGCTGATTCTAACTTTCCGTGGGTACATTGGTATGAGAAATATTGAGTTTGATATTCTGAATCTCGGATAGGTGTAAATAAGTTATTCCAGTCGATCAACTATTGATAGGTGTATCTTAAGACCAAAAAATTCGTTCCAGTCCGGTATTGATCGTCAAAGTAAAGAATTTGCGTGAATTGTGGATTACTTTTTATTTAATGCACGTGCTACTTATTATTAATTTGAGTAGTGTAATAGATATAATGAAACTTGACCCCATTTTTAATGTTAAAAATATTTCTGCAGCAATGAGTTCAACTGTTGCCTTTTCTTGATTGACCATACTCGTAGCAATCAACGAAGTGGAAAGGCCTGTCCCCGAGTGAAGGGCTTAGTAGATTTTCCGTGGTTGTCTTAATGGGCACTCGAATAGGCTTATGACCACAGTGCTGCCAGGGCGATTACGTTATTGCCTCGTAAGGCTTTCTTTATTACTTATACTAGATTGCTACTATGCTGCAGTTAATGGCCAACATAGATAGGCATCATTACATCGGGGCTTATTTCAAACAATTGTATCACCCATTCGATTTGACCCCGTAACCCGAGTAAGTGATGTGACAAAAGAGGTTCACTGACCTCAGACCCAACATGTTCCGAACATGATATGGTACGAAGCTACACTTGCATTTCATGTTTATTTCTATACCTTCCTCTCTAAGTTCCCTTTGTTGATGCCTCATTTTCTGCCCCTTTTAGCTCAATGAATGCTGCCGCCTTGCACAGTCTGCTAACTGGGCTCGACACCAGTTCGAATGAAGATGCCATCGAGTCAGGCACAGCTGCTGGAGCCCCAAGTGGTGGCCTCGGACCCTATTCCTTAAGCCTCTATGAAGGAGGGTCTGGCCTGGCTGGCATCGGTGGTCTCTATGGCGATGCCACACCGAGCGCTTCATCCGCTCGTATGGGCCTAAATAAAGCGTCTACATCCAGTCTTGGCCGAGCCACCAGCGCTTTGGGGGGACTTAACAGAGCTGGCCTTCCCACGGCCTATTGGCAGTCTGGCATGCGGTATACACTCAACGGCCCAGAGGCAGAAGTACCCATCTCAACGGGATTGGGGTCTAGTATTGCAGGTAGGAGGGCTGAATAGCCTTATTCCTAAATATTGTGAGATTTATCAAAAACGTATCAATTATAGGCAAACTAGTCAGCCGAATATATGAAAACCAAGTTGTTGTGGCCTCTGGTATGGTCGCAGTCTCCTGTCGATTTATAGAAGTGGGTTGACCTCGTTGTCGTAACTTGGTCTTGTTGCCAGGGCGACTTAGTCTAGTCCGAAGTCGTCTGCCATGGTAGTTTTCATGATTCTCAGCATCAGATAGTGAACTTGGTACATTCTCAAATGTTTCACCAGCATCGTAGTCAGCATCATCAATGAGCTTTGCCATTCTCCGTATCAAGCTACGAACTCGTCAAAGAGACGAGTGAAGTCAATACCTCGACAAACGTTCTGCCGAAAACGGTTACACTATCACT